CCACTTCTACTACTAGTACTAGTGGACATTCATTTATATTTAGGTGGCAGTGCAGAGTTTGAACAGTAGAGCCTGTCTGATGCATGGCTGGTCCTCCATAATACTTTGAGAGTTACTTAAGAGTTACTTAAGAGTTATTCATACTCAAAGGTTCGACTAGTCCTTTCAATCCTATTTAGTGGACATGGAGCCAGTTAGCCCTGGATTACCTGACATCTCCACGGCCGTCACTCTGCTTGCAGCTTTACAAAGATCAGTGGGGCCTCAGGAACTGTTTTTACCCGTTTTACTACTTACTGATTGTGGCCAGAACGTGCCGGCCTTCCTGCTGTTGGCTGTCATTCAGGTCACGTCCTCTTGGCTTCCTCTTGGCTTCCTCTTGCTATCAGTTTGACAGCCTCAGAGCCACGTGTCTCCTGGCAAGGAGCAAGGAGTTGTGACATCTTCAAAGCTTTGTGACAAAGTACGTGCCAAACCAGCGGATGTGATGACAGTGGTGGTAAATGTGAGTGATCTCCAGTTTGTTTTTGAAGTTTTCTGATGCTTCTACAACCATTATCATAACTCCCACTTTTTTCTTGCCTGCATTATGTTTTTTGAAAACGATTGCACTTAAGCACCCACACCCCTCCCCATTTTAACTGATATTTCATACAAAATATATTAGCTCGTTTGGAGTGCATGGAACAGCTTTTTCTTTTTCAGGCATGCAGCGCCTGGCCTGTATACTGACTTTGGGATGAATCTAACCAAACCATGGTCCAATTCTAACTGGCTTTGCTTGTCTTCCTTCTTTCTTTCCATTATCTCCTCTGTCTCATTCCTCTTCTTTACTACCTGTCAATTTTTTAAAATGAACAGAAATACACTTTTTCACCTTCTCACCAGATAAGAACTTGGATACCACTCTCATGTCCTCACAGTTAATATTAAGCTACATGGTGTGCATGGTGTGTAGCTCACCTGGCCCCATGTAGGTTGAGTCCGGCCCTGGTTCCGTTCCAACCCTTTGCTGCATGTCGTCCCCCCCTCTCCTTTCCATTCTCCCTTCATCTGTCCTATCAGATACAGGCATAAAAAGCCCCAAAGTATCTTTATATCTAAGCTTAAAAGCCATTGAGTTAAAGGTGTGGCTGTTTGATGAGAATGTTTTCCAGCATGCCTTCAGTTTGGATGTGCAGGTGGGGGAGAGGCTGCCATGCCACTGAATGCAAGTTAGCCAGAGACAGCATATACTGTATAGTACTGAGATCACAGCATTGTCTGTAGCATCTATTAGTTTCTCAAGTGCTTTAGCAGCAGCATTCAGCTCCTTTACTGTCCCTGGACCTGCAGGCTGTGAGATCACAAAGAGCCTATAATAAGGCAGATTAGGTGAGATGGGCCTCTCTATCTTCCTGTGAAACAGGACCCCCTCTGTAACCTTCAGCATTAATCTGCCAGGATCATTCGAAACCAGACTCACCACACACACCATTCCTTTGGGATCAAAAAGAACTGAAATAAAGGGATTCTCTGTACTGATTACTGCTGCCTCTTCTCTGCACAGACCCTGTATAAACCCACGCTGCTTTTCCTTAACGGCGGAGCGATTCTCCAGCTTGTTGTCACTGGGGGTCAGTCAGGCAGGCAGTTTGACTGAAAAGGACTGGAAATCCCATTTCTGTCCTCGTGCCTCTGATCCTCAACCAAAACTAACTCTGCCGTCAGCAGTGGGAATATCTCTCCAACAGCCGGGACAAACTAATGCGACCCTCCTGGAAATCCAGTTATCTCTGTGAAAGGAGGGTGAGGGGGAAGGAGGAGAGAGGAGAGAGGAGACATAAAGGGGATGACAATGACTGGATCTTTGTTTTCTAGTTGTGTCATCGCTCACGTTTTCTCAAACAACGTTGGCCCACAAACCTCTCGCCCATATGTGAGACCATCGTCACGCCACATGGTTCCTGAGGTCAAGTGTTTCAGATTGAATTTGACACCCAGTCATTCCCTCTCCTTTTCTAGCAGCAGAAAAAAGGATTTCCACTTCTGTTGACAGTTTAAATGAAATGCCTATTGTGTGACACTGCAATTAAATCCCTTGCTGTTATCACAACAGACTCTGTGCACGAGCCAAAAGAGCTTTTTAGCACCCCGCATGCATTGTGTTATCACTCATCACTGTTTATTGGCCCATTTTCCCATTTTGGCGCGACATAACAAGCAGGTCTGTTCTCTCCTCCTCTGCTGAAGGTGCAGTTGGTAGAAAGAGGTCAGGTTTTTGATGGATTGCTCCTAATGAGACATAAATTCTAATAATTACGGCGATGGAAACTGAAGCTCAGCATCTCCTCTGGCTGATACCGTAAAGACCCAGAAACACAACTCACTTAAAAATGGATATAATTTGAAAAAAGGTAGAATTTCAAAGTGCACCAGTGGTGATTTTTTAAAACAGGCTTTTCTTATCGCAGGCACATTGCAGAGGGTAATACATATGAATTAAGGTTCTAGCAATAGGCCCATGGTTTTTTTTTATGGCTGAAATCAATAGTATTGATGAGGTAAATGATAGCCATAAGGGGGAAACAAACTGTGGACCATCACTAAATAGCCTTTTGAACAACAAAAGTTTAGTATTTAAATTAGTTTTTTTCATAATTATGGGTAATATACATAGCACTTTATTCTTTTATTTCATTGTGTTTTTTATTTCAAATATTGAACACTCTGGGGCTCCATACTGATGGCATTAGGCCGTTGAGAAATAACTGTACAGCTACAAATAATATAGAAATAGAACAGATCTTGGTGGACTGGTCAGTATCAAACATTCAATAACCACCATCATCAACCTTTACAAAATCATTCATGTGAGTGCAGTGTTGAATTGAGAGAAGCTAGCCATTACGTTAAGAAAAAACAAAAGTAAAACATCAGTGCTGCTCATATGAGATATTGGATCATGTTGAGTAATCAAAGCTACACGAGAGGGTTTAGTGGTCCTTCCCAGCAGACATCCCTGACCTGTAGAGAAAAACCTCAAAGGCAGTGTGGATGTTGCACTTCATGGAGGATAAATCCAACTCATGCAGTCACATAAATGGAAAACAAAAAACAGGTCTCTCTTTTTTCTCTCTTTTTTATTTGGCTAAACTGTCCAGAACTGTTTCACAGACCCCTGAGAGCACTGTGAATGTAAAAGATTTTCTTTATGAAGAATAGGAGAAGAAGTCTCTCCCACATACATTAACGTCTAGAGTGAGGAAATGGTGCTTTTATTTTTTTTACTTCCCGTATTTTATGTTGCTGCAGCTTTTGACTAAATTAATTTAAAACCATCAGATGACAGGAAAAGACATCAACATCACCAGGGGGAAAAGGTGTATATTATTTTTGAATTCTTGCTTCCATTTAATTTTCTGACAACATAATCTCACGTCTTTCAATAGCCACCGACAAATTAATCATCCATTTCACAGTGAGTAATGAGGTGACAGGTAGTATTAACACAAAACAACTCATCAGCGGAGCTCTGTTTTGGATGTATACTGTATGCATATACCTGCTGTTAGTCTCTGACAGCTGCTTTGATTTAGCTTTGCACCGTGCATGGAGGAAGGACTGTCCAATCCATAGCAACCATCTCTCTCTGCACCTGGGAAACACATTTACGAGGCTGCTCCCCGTCCATTGTAACTGACTAATAGTTCCATGTACATTTCCAGATGTGGGATTCGATTTCAGAGACCTGCGATCAACCTGTCTGACACGTGCCAAAGCAAAGCATGAAAACAAAACAAAGGTTCTATTTAAAAAATGAACTGAAGGTCAACCCTTCAAAACTATTACACTATGCGCATTAAAACTGATCTCTTCTTTCTCAGCTCTTAATTTGTACATTTTCTGGTGATTTTGTTTTACTGCTGTATTGACTGTAACAGCTGCACCATGTGATTGTAAACTTGAATATGAGAGGCTGTGTGTTTCCTGTGCTGGAGAGGGAGTGACACTGTGCAGAGACAGAGCTCCTGTGTGGGCCTCAGACTTAAGACAAGTGCAATAGAGTAAATGGGATAATCAGGGTTTACAGATCTGGGTGGCTGCAGTGACGCAGGGCTTTACACTGCCTAATGGAGCATCCGTGACAGCTGCCACGCCCTGACCCCTCCGCTGTCATCTGACCCCCTGACTGACCCCGTCGCATGCTCCCTGAACTAACCTGTCTGGCACTTGCAAATGATTTCTGATTTCATACTTGTGAATATATTTCCCTGAGAAAACTGAACCTATGCAGAAGAGCAGTGATGCTGCAGTTTCTAAAGGAAGATGTTACAGTAGCTTAAATAAAATGAAATTATACTGTCTGTGTAACAGGTTTTTAAAGTTCAGAGGGTAAAATTATAGTCCACACAAACGTCATCGGAAGCTGAGGGTAACCTATCAGTGGAGGGCCGCAGACCCTAACCTTAAGGTGTTAGTGGTCTGAGGGTAACAGGCTTAAGGGATTACAACAAAAATATTTCCTGTCTGTTTTAAACAGCAACGGTTTTATTTCCTTGATGGCTATTTGAGTTGGTACGTATTTAGTCCCTCTGAGGCTACTTTCTGTCAAAACCTAAACCAGCCTACAGAGGGCGACATGACAACATCAAGTGAGCTTTTTTTATATGCAGATCAGCACCAGTTGAATCTCACAGAGATAAGAAAATACTTTCATATTTCAGGTCATTTATTTATTTTTCCTGTCTTTTTAACATTTTGTATTTGGCTAGAGAAGGATGGTCAGTCTTGACGCTAAATATATTGTAATTTATTAATGAATTCAGGTACATCAATTATCATTTTGATAACTCTGCCTCTAACTCTCATTTTGTTAATGGCCACATCAAGGTCTTAAGATTAAAAGCATTATAAATGTATCATTAAGGCAGTCTGGGGAACTGGTTCATAAAGTCGAGTCTTACAGTGAGAGCATGTTTAGCTGGGCTTTCAGTGAGCAGCAGACTGTCAGAGGGGGCGGGGTGAAGTACAGCTGACATCTTCAGACTTACAGACCTGAGTGTTGCAGAAGGACGCAGCATGTCAAGTGGGCAGGTAACAGTTAACTTCTGCATAAGTGGGGAAAATATGTTGAACTAAACAGAGCTGGGGAAAGCAAGCTGGATTTCCACTCATTCAAACTGTATTAACGGGATTATCTGTTGGCATCAGAAAGAGAAATTAAAAATATGTCGGAGCTGTGCGTAAAAATCCACAAGATTCCTCTGAGGGGTTGATCGTCGGTTGTGCCAAAGTGCGACTTGAGGAGCAGCTTATTCATGCAAATTCATAAAATCATAGGCGTGCCTTTGGGCGATGGAGTCACGGCCGGAAAAGCAAACCCCCCTCCTGGATCATCAGCGACCTTCAAAGACTGTGATGCGCAGCGCTCGGACGCATTGACGGCGGCACCGGGGCAAATGTTTTAAAAGGACAGAGAAAGAGAAGAGAAAGTTAGGACTCGTTTTCTACACACTTCTGTTGACTGGCTGCACTTCTTCCTCTACACAACCACCAGCTCGACTGCTGCGCCACTGGATCTCCAACAACAGGCTTATTGCGCAAACTATAACGCACTGTCGCAACTAGAACTATCTGCCTTGGCGTCTTAAATATGATTTAATTTTACTTTTTATATGTTTACAGTCATTCGGACGACTTCAAATACTGAGAATCCTGATGCGGATGAAGTCATAGTCACCCTAATATAAAGTATTTGTGCGTAAAAACGCGACCACTGATTTGTTCCTATTTTGAAAAAAATATTCATTTTTTTAATTTTATTTCACTCGCTGAGGACTTTTTCACCCTTCACCATGTCAGAGGACGACAGTAGCTCCACCGCCAGCTGTATGTCCGACACAGAACGCAGCAACGTTAGCGTCCTCAACTGGGAGCAAGTGCAGCGGCTGGACGCCATCCTGACGGAGACCATCCCGATCCACGGCCGGGGAAACTTCCCCACTCTGGAGATGCAGCCGCGGCAGATCGTTAAAGTGGTGCGCAGTCGGATGGAGGAGAAACAGATCCACGTCCGGGACGTTCGGTTAAACGGCTCTGCAGCCAGCCACATTCTGCACGAGGACAGCGGACTGGGCTTTAAGGACCTTGATCTCATATTTTGCGCAAATATGAAAGGTGAAAGTGATTTCCAGACTGTGAAGGACATAGTTTTGGACTGTCTTCTGGATTTTTTACCCGACTGTGTGAATAAAGAGAAAATAACCCCGTTGACGTTAAAGGTACTTTACTTTGTTTCTCTTTTTTCTTTTTCCTGCTTGAGTGGTTCACTTTTAGATATGTGATAATTGCCTTTGTGCCAATTCGGCTTAACCGCCATTATGCGGAGCTTATTGTGCAATTAGATTAGTTTAGTGATAGTAAAATGTTGCTTTTCCGTAGTTAAGAGGATTGAGTTAAACCAATTTGGAAAGGATCCTCAGCTCAGCCACCTAGATCCCATATCCAAGTACATTCTATGGTCTTTAATATGTGGGTAAATAGCATTAATAACACAAGATTTATAACAGGCATAAGACACGCAGCTATATTTATACATAAACAAAATTGGTTATCAAATGATATATCTATATATGCAAAATTAGGTCAAAATGTGCATTTATATAGCTGCTGAATTAATGATTGTACCTGAGGCTATTTTAATATTTTTTGCTTTTTCTCTCTCTCTCTCTCTCACACACACACATATAGGAAGCCTACGTGCAGAAGATGGTGAAGGTGTGTAATGACTCAGACCGCTGGAGCCTCATCTCCCTCTCCAACAACCGGGGAAAGAATGTGGAGCTGAAGTTTGTGGACTCTCTTCGGCGACAGTTTGAGTTCAGTGTGGACTCCTTTCAGATCAAACTGGACTCCCTGCTGCTGTTCTACGAGTGCTCAGAGAACCCCATGGCCGAGACCTTCCACCCCACCATCATGGGCGAGAGTGTGTATGGGGACTTCAGCGAGGCCCTGGACCACCTGCGCCACAAGATCATCTGCACCCGGAACCCGGAGGAGATCCGAGGCGGGGGTCTGCTGAAGTACTGTCACCTGCTGGTGAGGGGTTTCCGGGCCGCTTCCGAGTCAGAGATGAAGTCCCTGCAGCGCTACATGTGCTCACGCTTCTTTATTGACTTCCCTGACATAGGTGAGCAGCAGCGCAAGCTGGAGTCCTACCTTCAAAACCACTTTGTGGGCCTGGAGGACCGCAAGTACGACTACCTGATGACCCTCCACGGAGTGGTCAACGAGAGCACGGTGTGCCTGATGGGACACGAGAGGCGGCAGACCTTAGGGCTCATAGCCATGCTGGCAGTGCGTGTTCTGGCTGAGCAGAACGTCATCCCCAACGTGGCTAATGTTACATGTTACTACCAACCTGCTCCTTATGTGGCAGATGGCAACTTCAGTAACTACTACATAGCACAGGTACAGCCGGTGTTTGCTTGCCAGCAGCCTGCATACTCCACCTGGCTGCCCTGTAACTGAGTCAGCCCAAAGGAAAGGAGGAGGAGGAGAGTTGGATTTGTTTAAACAGGAGTGAGAGGCATAGTCACTGCCTCTAACCTGCCCAGTGTTTGACAGCTGATGGAAAAAGGAGTCTTCTTTTTAGAGCTTGTGTTTTGTTCATGCATCGAGTATGAGCAGTTGGCTTTCACTTCAAGTATGTATTTTAATGTGAATATCTCACATTTCGTGAAATAACAACATCATCTGACCCTGCCCAGGCCAACCAGGTTTGGAAAATGACAAATTTTGGGTAGCTTGGAAATAAAGGCTAAATGCAAATGTGTCACGGCCTTGAACGCAAGCAAGCAGAACTGTCATCGAAAATGCACGAGACTGATTCAATCAGTCTAGAACTGATTAGCCAGCACGTTCCAACAGCAGACCAAACAGCTGCATCAGTTGAAGTTGACAGCTACGCCACACACACACACACACACACACACACACACACACACACACACACACACACACACACACACACACACACACACACACATTCACACACTCTAGGTGAAATCAGAGGTGTGTGCAGGGCTCCAAAATGAGCACCCTAGACTCTGCTTTTATGTCAGCTGAACTGAGGTGAGATGCTGTTAAACTAGTTTGGATAACAAACTGGCATCTCCGCCTTGCATTTGGATGTAATTATGGTTGTTTACAGACCAAAGATTTTTTTGATTGTTTCTAACATTAAAACCCAATTTTGATGGGGAAAAATAAACAAAATATGAAGCTATGTCTATTTGTATATGTGAACATATGTGTGTTTTTAAGTGCCTATTGCCTCTCAGCGGGCAGAGAAAAGAATGAGCAGGCCATATGATTTTTGTGAATTAGCCCCCACTCTGTTTATACACAAGACAACAGCACCCCGGAGGCTTGTGAATGTATACGTGAAATCAATGCACAGTCAGTGTTTGTGGATGAAAAAGAGCACCACGCGTCTGCAGATTTTGCAGTAAAGTAGCAGTAAAATACGCAATTGATGGGTTGTTGCAAGATTCACATTTTTTCCACGTGAATTTAGAAACACAAAATTTGATCTTCTTGGGGAAATAAACCAAACATGCTGTATTACGTTGTCCCAAATTAATATTGCTATTGAATATTTGCTATGAGAAAGGATGACAAGCATTTTCAGATCATCAGCAACAAAGAAAACTGTCACTCACACACAATTTCTTATATATTCTGTACAGTGGTGCTTCTTTTTTCTCATCAGAGGAAAAAAATAATTAAAAAAATGAGTTCGCAAGAAGTAGATAAGAGACAGAGAGAGGAAAGGGTGCATTCAGAGAGAGAGAGGGCCCGACAGAGAGCTGGTGTGTGCTTCCTCCTGCAGTGGAAGGATATTTGCAGAGACACCTCAGATGATGAGACACTATTTGCTGTAGCACCTTGGCAGGGAATTCCTCAGCTGCTGCTGAAGAGCTTGAACTTAGCTGGGGTTGGGTCTGCAGACGCTCTGTTCGGGCTTCAGAAAATGTTGTGCCAAACGTTTCGGTGGCCCCGCTGATAGCCCTTAAGTTTAATGAGGCCATTTGTTGACGTAGGAAAAAGATGCTGTGCGGATATAGAAGACTGGGAAGTAGACGGTAGAGGGAGGAAAAAAAGGGGAGAGAAAGGAAAATGTAGTGGTTTAAAAGGCAGGAGGGAGAGTGAGTCGCTCTGGAGAGATGGGTGCAGCTGGTGATGGGGTTTATCTCTCCAGGGCTACCATGCTTTACTGTACAAACTGTCTCTGTTAAGGTCAGATTGCAACTTAATGGACAGTGCTGTGGCTCTCCCGCTTTTTTCAGGGAGACCAAAAACATTCTATAATCAGCATTTTTTGCTCTCTGTTTTAATCATCTGATTGTTGTTCACAAGAGTGGAAACTGAAGAAAAACTGCATGCGTTCACACCGGCCTCAGGAGACTTTAAGTTGCAACTTACGTTTCATTTGTGAGGTTGCTTTATTGACGCTTATTAATGGTTTTGATGCTTCATTCCACACGATTTTAAAATATCTGTGTATATATATGATAACATGCTTCAGCTTTGCCAACTCACTTACTCCTTGCTAACTACACTGCAGCCTTTCCGGATGGCAAATAGAAAAAGGAAATGGTTTTTAAGCATAAAAAGGTAGTTAGGCCCATAAGACCAGCATCAACTCAACACTGAGTTGAAAAGAGAAATTCTTTTGCTGAAAAAAAAAAAAAGCATTTCTTTTTCATCCTCTGTCTCGCCTGACTCTGATAATCCATAACTGCTCTGTTCAGTTGTTTTTTCTTCTCAGTGACTGTCCATGTCGATGGTATCCTTTGGATTGTGCAGGCAATGTATTGTCCTTTTATACTCAGTGAAGTCCTAACAGCTGACTAGCTAGCTAGCTCCAGTCTGCCTGTCAGTTAGTGATTGTGGGTTACTGCATTGTCTTGTATGCGTTGTCTCAAATATCTGTTTCTGTTCATGCAGTCTTTTACAAATCACACAAAGAAAAAGATCCTTGTCTTGTATGTATATTTTTTATGATTGTTATTTTTATAAATGTATCAGACACTGCGGGTGTTGCAGTGCTTTTGAATCTGTGATTGGGCTTCAAAGGATATGTTCTCAATAGCTTTTTTGCTATATTATGTTATGTGTCCAATGGGTCAAAAAGTTAAAGATGTTTTCATCAATAAAATATCTGAAAAACAGATTTGTTATTTGTGTCTCTCGTTATTCATCCGTCTGTCTGTATGAGTCTAAATCAAGTATACTGCCCTGGTTTATTCCAGACAGAAACCGACATGAGAAATTACTCACTTGTCGATTAACTTCAGATTTCCTTCTTTTCAAAGGAGAGTCTTTTTTCACTGACGTTAGCTATTCAGTGGCTTTCAGATGGGTTCCCTGCTCACTCACTCAGAGAGGCAAATCCCTGCCATGGCCTGCCGGGCCCAACAGGCCCAGCCAGAAACCCGTCCAGAACTGGCCTGCTGTTGCCAGAAAGAGCTGTTGTTGAATGTGAGGGGATTTGCATCCACCCAAAAAAGAGACTTCGACGCTTTTGTAGAATGAATATCTTTGCCTGCTCATCAAATTCTCTCTGTTAACAGCCCCCACCACCCCCCTACTCCCCCATACACCGACAGCAATGCAATGACGATCAGCGCTAAGGCCTGCAGATACCAGAGTCTAACTGTCTCATGGTTGTCAGGCTGAAATGAAACTCTCCACAACATAGATGACTGTCACACAGGTCACATGACAAACTGTCCTAGATACAGAGGGATATAAGACAACACAGAATGAGTAAGAGATTCACTATATATAGCACAAATGATAAGGACATTATCTCTTTCACTTAAGCGCATTTGCAGCTCATTAATCTCCATTGAAGGAATGATTGACATGTTGAGTCTGAACAGTAATACACATACAGGCTAAGATAATAACACATTTTATGCTCTATTGGCCCTTTTCAGTCCCACACTCAGTGCTGCTTTGCTGAAGCCCCATAGTATCTTCAGATGAATACAGAACTAGGACTGTGGGTTTTGTCCGCCATCACTTACAGTGGATTCGCATTAGGAAGGGATCTTTTAATGACCAGTATGGACAGGAGGAACAGTTGGTTCGATCACAAACACTTTCAATGTACATATGGGCATGTGAGTATTGTTTTAAGACAATAAAAATGTGAACCCTTCCTTTAAAATCTTCCCATGGTGACTGAATCTTTATGTTCAACCTGACTGTCATACTACTGATGGCCATGTGAGTGAGGTGCCAATTTCTGCTATTTAAAGCTTAATTTGCTTATTTGTTGTCTTACATTGTGTTGGATGAGTACATTTTTTAAAATCTTATCTTCCATATTGCAGCAAATATACCTTCTGCATCATTATAATTGCAACGTAGTTTCCAGCTATCTGCGGCAGGGCTGAGCAATGTAGACAGCACCTGAGAAAAATATTTTTTGTTCAACTTAGATAGGTTCATATTTTCAGTTATCTGACACAAAACACTATGCTTTACAACTGCAATAATCAATATTTTATATTAACAATGGATCAAATTGAGAATTATTGCCTGACTGCAGTTCTCCTCAGCTGTGTTTTAAGCTTCTTTCAGCTCGCTATTTTTGTTTTAGGATGCAATTTATTATTTTGGTTCAACGTCAACTTGTTACCAGCCACAGAAGGCAGATTTTTTTTTCACTGTACGCTACAGTGGCCAAAAACATCAACTGAAGTTGCTCTGTGTCTTCTTGATGTCCAAATAGGCATCTGTTTGCTTCCACATTCCCCATTTCAACTTTATGCGGTAATAATATGTCAGTGCTGTGTTTGTTGCACTGTCCCAGGTGCAGCCGTCATCAGGGTGTGTATGAGAGCCAGGAGCTAGATATCATCCATATATAGCCTAAAAACAATAAAACTAACATTCAAATCATGCTACAGTATGCAACATCACCCCCATCAACCAGCAGCTAGCAGGAATACTTATATGCTTACTGTCAATGTCTCATTCCTGCAAGTGCTTCTTGTCCCAGTCTTAATTTCAAGCATGATTTTACTTAATCCCTTCTGAAGAAGCCTTCTCATTTGTGGTTCGCTGTAAAGAAGTCAGATTGATGTAACAACGGCGCCAAAGGGCCTAAATCTCAGGTCCTTAATTTGAGATGGAGCATCAAACGAAATAGCCTTCTTAATTTAAGGGAGCTTTGATTTTAAAGTTTAAAGAGTGAGTTGTGAAAGACTCTTACTGCAGCAGTTATCTGGCAGAGGGCGATAGCTGAAGCCGACCACAGAGTGAATCCACACAGCGTGTGTCAGTGAGAGTCTTTATAATAACCTGTTTACCTTTGAATAAAAGCTTATAGACAATTGTCATTCATCCTCCAATTACTCATCCCTGCTGCTTGTCTGAGTGCTCTAATGGCTTTTCCACCACAAGGATTGGAGAATGGCTGGCTTCATGGGATTTCTCTCCCTTTTTCCTTCTCTGTTGCTGTGAGGCATTTTTTCCAGATTAAAGTTTTTATGGAATAAGCGGGAACCATTTGGAGAGTGTCTTCAGCAAACTGACTGCTAGGTCGGCCCACTTTGGAGTTCTGTTCGTTGGTGTGGAGCGGCTACCACGGCCAAGCAACTAATGTTTTGATTTACAATGTGGCTTAGTCTCAGAAATCCCAGTAACTAGTACATTTCAACATTTTATTTTTAAGCATGTGGGATAGCACTGAGCAGACATGAGAGCAGAACCCTCCCGCCCCCCTCACATCAATCCGGGCTTGTAAACAAATTCCAGAGGGGTGAGTTTGTACAAACAGTAAGGAAACATTCATCATGCATGTTAAACAGCCACGAGGGAGATAAAGAGTCAGCTGCAGGTCACAGACAGCTGGACCTACAGCACATCACTGTTCTTAGTAAACGACATCATCTGAACCCGAGTCCCCTTCTCTTGCCACACCTCAAAACAACAACCTGCTTCAAACATTTAACTCACTTACATCTGCAGATACAATATGTCTGCCATACTGGCTGGGGGATATTGACCTTATAATAACAATAAGATCTCATACACCATACCAGATGGTTGTATGGTTATCATAGGGTTTCAGTGTCCCAGAGTCCTATGATATAATCTATAACTGCTGTTTGAGTGAGGTGAGGTGAGAAGAAATATTTTATTTTGCACGGAAATTGGCATATAAAAAGACAGCATGTCAGCTTAAATTATTGGTCATGAATAAAGGTCCAGTGTGTAAGATTCAGGAGTATTTATTGGCAGAAATGAAATTTTTTATTCATCAGTATGTTTTCATTATCGTATGATCACCTCAAAATAAGATTTTTTTTTACCTTAGTATGAGCTGTTTTTATCTATGGAGGGAGCGGCGAGCAGGTCCCGTTCTACAGAGCCTGCCATGTTGAACTGCCATGTTTCTACAGTAGCCCAGAATTGACAAACCAAACACTGGCTATAAATAGGGCCTTTCAAGGTTTTTGCGAGTTTCACGTCCACCGTAGTTTCTACATGTTTGGAATCGTGGATAAAGTGAGGGTGGTGTAATCTGCAACTACACTACTTGATGCCACTAAAACCTACACACAGGTCCTTGATTCATCCTTAAATTTACTTACCGTAGCTGTCACCTGCTTGACCATGTGACCACTGGCCTTCAGGCTGTGAAATCAAACAATTACTGGTGGGATAAACATCTGTAATGTCCTGCTCAAGTTGAAGCTGCACTCACCAATATGTGTGATGTAAAGGTTGTCACTAGTAGTGACAAGCCAGCAGTTAATTATTAGCTGACTCTACAGTTCCCATCAGCACTACAGGGCGTTTTAGAACCTTTCAGCTCATTGTTTTGGTTTCCAGGCCTGCAACGTAAGGGATCAGTCTCACCACTTTCATCAAAATAAAATAGTTTTCTGTCTTTAGGATGAAAGCTCTGATAAATACTGCTGCCTACCTGCCCAGCACCAACAAAGTTAGCTAAATTACTTGGCGGCGAGCTGGTAAACATTGTGATGCATTTTGCAGATACTGAGCCAGATATTTTTCTCAGGAGTTGGTGGAGACCCAAACAGAGCTAAAAGGAGAGTGAATATTGGACTTACATTTGTCAGGTGGCCAGAAACACAAATGGAAATGATTACTAATGTTGCTTTGTGCTGGCTTGATGTGTAAATTTGAAATGTCTGCTTACATGTAAGCGATAGCAACTTTTAAGTTTAAGTTTTAAAATTGAGTTTCACTGAAAGTTCACTGCATACATCTCCTGAGCTGTCCAGTTTCCATTGCTTTTAGAGGGTAATAAATAATAATAAATAAATAAATAAATAAATAAATTTGATTTCAAATGAATGACAGAATAACTATAATAACTATGAATTATTGGAGCAACAGTAACATTCTTTCTTTTAAATATTAAAACGGCCACACTAAGAGGAAGCACAACTACAGTTCCAGGAGAAAATGTTATACTATCTACAAGCATTTGCTCTGCTGTCATATTTGTTGTTATGACAATATTTGGGGCAAATATGAGTCAAGCTGGGAAAGTTTTTGTAACAAAAAGTGTGTCAAACTAATTGTAATGAAAGACAACTCTTAGTGTTACACCAGTTTAGCTTTGACCTGTAGTCAACCACTTATAGGAAACAAAAGAAACCAGACACTGGAAGAGATACGCAGTTCAACAGCAGGTGTCAGTGGGAGTGATGGGGAGCTGACCGCTATTGTTGCTGATTCTTGAAGATTTATCGACTCCTGTAAAAGTACACCTCAGCTGAGGTATAAGGGCAGGCAGGAAGCACAGAGCTGAAACGACTGAATGGAGCTGAGTGATTCATGGATGCTGGATGAGGTTATAGGTGTGGTGGGAGTAACGGGAGGAATGAGGTGGAAACGGTAAAGAAATGGAGGGAGTATAAACACAAAGAGTAGTGGATCATAAAAGAGTTGTGTGCATGTGTGTGTAGAGAGAGAGAGAGAGAGAGAGAGAGAGAGAGAGAGAGAGAGAGAAGGTGAGGGAGTACAGGGAGGGAAGGTGATCCTCTCTTCCCAGAGATTAGTGTCATTGAGGTTAGCAGGTTTATCTTATGTAAGTCTCAGAACCTGCAGGACAGATGAGCGTCCTGTCTCACTCAGCAACTGGGGCAGAGAGACAGAGAGAGGGAGAGTCCTTTGTCCAACTTA